TTATTTTACTATACATAAATTGTTGGTGAAAACTCCTTCCTTTTGGTGCTTTCAAGATGTCATTCTCTTCTGGTTTCCATGGTTTCTTTTTTTTTTTTTGAGACAGAGTTTCGCTCTTGTTACCCAGGCTGGAGTGCAATGGCGCGATCTCGGCTCACCGCAACCTCCGCCTCCTGGGTTCAGGCAATTCTCCTGCCTCAGCCTCCCGAGTAGCTGGGATTACAGGCACACGCCACCATGCCCAGCTAATATTTTGTATTTTTAGTAGAGACGGGGTTTCACCATGTTGACCAGGATGGTCTCTATCTCTTGACCTTGAGATCCACCCGCCTCAGCCTCCATAAATGCTGGGATTACAGGCGTGAGCCACCGCTCCAGGCTTTTTTTTTTTTTTTTGAGATGGAGTCTTGCTCTCTCACCCAGGTTGGAGTACAGTGGCGTGATCTCGGCTCACTGCAACCTCCGCCTCTTAGGTTCAAGTGATTCTCTTGTCTCAGCCTCCCAAGTAGCTGGGATCACAGGTGCCTGCCACCACACCTGGATAATTTTTGTATTTTTATTAGAGACAGGCTTTCACCAGGTTGGTCAGGCTGGTCTTGAACTCCTGACCTCAGGTGATCTGCCCACCTCAGCCTCCCATAGTGCTGGGATCATAGGCATGTGCCCCTGTGCCCAGCAGGGTTTCCATGGTTTTCTGAGAAGAATCTAGCTATCTTTCCTATTGTTCCCTGAATGTGTTATCTTTTTTTTTTTAGTCTCAATAATTTTTACAGTTTCTGTTTACCTTTGGTTTCTGGAATGCTTTACTATAATGGGCTTGAGTTGTTTGCTTTTAGTTTTTTCCTGCTTGTGATTTACTAAGATTCTAAAGTCTGTAAGTTGACACTGCTCATCAGTTTTGAAAATTTCTCAGCCACTACCTCTTCACATATTGCTCCTGCCCCATTTTCCTGTCATTCTTCTGAGGACTCCAGTGACATATAGATCAGATCATTTGATGGTGTGGTTCCACATGCTTTTCTGTTTTTCATTCTTTTCTTTCTGTGTCTAGATCATTTCTATTGACAGATCTTCAAGTTAACTGATTTTTTCTTTTGCTGTGATTTCTTTTCTTTTTCTTTCTTTCTTTTTTTTTTTTTTCAAGGCAAAGTCTTGCTCTGTTGCCAGGCTGGAATGCTGGAATGCAGTGGCTCAATCTTGGCGCACTGCAACCTCCGCCTCCTGGGTTCAAGTGATTCTCCTTCCTCAGCCTCCTGAGTAGCTGGGACTACAGGCCTGCACCACCACACCCAGCTAATTTTTGTATTTTTAGTAGCGGCGGGGTTTCACCATGTTGACCAGGATGGTCTCCATCTCGTGACCTCGTGATCTGCCCACCTCGGCCTCCCAAGGTGCTGGGATTACAGGAGTGTGCCATCACACCCGGCCTTTTGCCTTGATTTCTGAAATTTAGGTACTACACTTTTAAAGTTGCAAAATGTCCATTGACCCTTGTGAGAAACACATTCGGCCGTCCAAATCCAAGAAATGGACTCAGAGACCTGGAGAACAGAGAAAGTGAGACCTTTAATGAGGGTCTTGCAAGATCAGGTGTCGGATGGACAGGCACGTACAGCGCAGTTTCAGCAAGCAATTTATGCCGCCGTGGGCAGGCCCCTCCACCTGCTCCTCACAGGCTGAATACTATGGGGGGGGTCACACTCTTCCTGAACGGCACCTATTGGTTGTTGAGCAAGGGCTTTAGGTGTTTTCTTCAGGGCTGTCTTGCTGCCTTTTGTTGCAGCCCACGGTGCATGGCAGTCCCGGTCAGCTCAGGGGCTCTTCGAGTATTTGATTTATGACCTAAGTAGCTGGGCAGGCTGATAACAGAGAAAACAAGCTCTTTGTAGGCCAGGACACTTTCGTCTTCGACCCCTTGGATTCGGGTGAGGCTTTTTTCAGCTCACGGAGCATGAACTGTCCCACCGTGTGACCCTCACTCTGTCCAGTGGAGGCTCTGAGACCAAAGGGACTTTCCCTGCCCTCTCCAGCCCAGCCTCGCCTCCCCAGCACGCGGTAAACGTTCCATGGAGGGGACTGGTGGGCACTGGGGGCTCCCCGGGATCCAGCTCATTGCAGGGGCTCACGGCCATTCACACTTGGCTGCCTCCTCTCCCCCAGCAGAACCCCTTCAGCTTCCGGGGCCCGGTTTTCGGCCTCGGGCAGCAGATGAGACTGGGCGTAGTGGAGCGGGCGAGGCCTGCTCCTCGCTGGAGGCCCCTTAGACCCCCCGCGTTCACAGCTCTCCAGCATCCACTAGTCTACATTTCATTGATGTTCTGTGTCTCTTTCTTTCAGCGGCTCAGCATGAATGATGGCCCACATCCTACTTGCTAGCAGGAAGTGAAACCGAGTGGGGGCCTGGGGGCCAGCGCCCAGCTCAGGGGCTCCAGGGCGAGGCCGGGGGGTCCTTCTTCCTACCCCGCAGGACCCTGCAGCCCCCAGCGTCACTTCCGCGGATGTGGCCACCAGAGTCCCTGCCGGAGCCTGGAGAGTGTGCGTGGGCTTCTAAGAGCATGAGGGAGACCTGCAGATGGGGGCCAAGGTCCTCGAGACCCCCAAGGAGCTCGTCCCGAACCCTTCTGGGTGGGTGACTCCATCCCTCCCCTACCTCCTTTCTAGAATCCTGTCGGGGTTTAGGGGTGCTCCCGCCCCGCACCTGCGCACAGGCGGGTCCAGGGCTTGGTGGACGAAGAGAATCCCAGGCTCCGTGCCCTTAAAACACGGGCGTGGGGGCCGCAGGGGCGAAGGCTGGAGGCTGAGAACCCGAGAGGGGCTGCGGGGTCGGCCTCAGGGCAGCGGGGCTGCGGGCAGCGCCGCTCTGCAGACGCGAGACCCGCCCGGAACCCTCGAGGGCGGCGCCCGCCGACCCCGCTGCGGCCCCGTGCGGGCAGCGCCGCCTCCCAGGGCCCCCAGCGCCGTCCTCCCCGAGCGTCCGCTGCCCTCTGGGGCCGCCGTGGCCGGGGTTATTTTAATACCGGGCGCTGGCGCGGGGCCGCGGCGCATTCCCAGCTGGCGGCGGGCAGGTGGCGGCGGCGCAGGGACCCGGCGCGGGGCGCGGCTTTGGTGGCGGGACCGGCGGGCGGGCACCCCTACCCTGTGCGCTCTGGGAGCCGAGGCCGCGGCGGAGTCCCTCGCGCCCCCTCTGCGCCCCGAGAGGGGAGCGCGCTTTGGAACGTTCCCCGCGGCCTCTCTGCGAGAGGAGTTTGGAGCCGGGCTCGGCGGGCAGGTCTGGAGGCTCCGTGACCGGAGGCAGGTGGGTTCCCCGCGGGGAATGCGGGACCGAGGAGGGCCCGTGAGGCCTGTGCCCTTCGGGGCCTGACTCCACCCTGGGCGCTGGGAGCGGGGTCCGGCGAGGCGGTCGCTCCGGGGCCATGGAACTTTCGGCCCCTCGCCTTCCCTCCTGGCGACCCTGGAGCGCGGCCCGGCGGTCACTACCCCCTGCCCGTGACTCGGGCTCCCGCGCGTCTGGGGAGCCCGGTGGCTCCTCGGCTTCTGCGCCGTCCCATGGGTGAGGGCTCTGGAAATGCCCCGGGTGGGGGCAGCAACAGGGTGAGGGTCCTCTGGACAGATGGAGCTGGGAGCTGCCGGGCTTGGAGGGAAAGGGCGGGCAGGGCACATTTCCAGGCCAACAGTAGGCCCCCGGCGCCCCGACCCATTGATGCCGCCCCACCCCAGCCGACTGCTCCCTGCGCGGCCATGAGTGTTCTGCCCAAATTCAGCGTGGCTCATGGGCTCAGGCAAGCTCTTGGGTCTGCTGCTTCTGCTCAGCACCGCCCTGTGAGTTTCATCCGGGCTGCTGACCCCAGCGGTGATTCCTTCTTCACTGACTTGGTGTCACAATTTGCTTGCCCCCTCCACTGGGGACATTCGAGCTGTTTCCAGCTTCTTAGGAGTAAAGCTGCCCCAAACTTTGCACGCTTGTCTTTTTCTGGACATGGGCGGTCCTTTGTCTAGGGTGCAAACCTAAGAGTGGAATTGCCGAGTGAGAAGGTATAGAAGGCATAGGCTCGGTCAATTCTGCACATGTGTCAGCAGCTTTCCAAAGCCGGGGCACAGTCCACTTCCCAGCAACAGGAAACAGCGAGGCCAGCTCCTCTGCAGCCCCCACGCCCGCTGACAAGGATGCCTGCCTTGTCACAGGTTCATGCTTGTCAGCACTCAGGGGCTCCTGGGGCCGTGATTGGCATTTCCCTGCTTGTTGGCCACGTCCCTGTCCTTTTCTGCAGAGTCCCTGGGCAGGGTTTTGGTCTCCTTTTTCCAAATGGGCGGTTTGTCTTTTCCTTACTAATTTACAGCTCTTCTCTATATTTTTGTTGTTAGCTCTTGGTCTGATATATGGTCCCACCCCCCTGTTTTTTTAAGATGAAGTCTTACTTTGTCGCCCAGGCTGGAGTGCAGTGGCACAATCTTGATCTTGGCTCACCACAGCCTCCGTCTCCCAGGTTCAAACAATCCTCCTGCCCCAGCCTTCTAAGTAGCTGGGATTACAGGCATGTACCACCATGCCTGGCTAATTTTTGTATTTTTAGTAAAGACAGAGGGGTTTCGGGATGCTGGCCAGGCTGGTCTCGAATTCCGGACCTCAGGTGATCCACTTGCCTTGACCTCCCAAAGTGCTGGGATTACAGGTGTGAGCCACCGCACCTGGCCTCATGTTTTCAGATGACCTCCTAGCCTGTGGCTTATAATTTGGCTTTCTTGGTAAAGTTACCAATTTTAATGAAACCCATTTGCCCAGTCTTTTATTGCAAGTATTTTTTGTCCATTTTTTAAGAAAACATTTCCCACCCAGGGTCATGCCAGTATTCCCGTTTTCTTCCAGAACTTTGACTGAATGATTGAGTTACCCTTTCACACTTAGGCCTGCAATCCATCTTGAATTCATTTTCCTGTAGGAGAATGGAGACGGCAGCCCCCTCCCCTCCTCACCTTACATGTTTTTCTATTTGAACTTTTAAAGTCAGCAGCTACTAGTTTTACAATCTGAAGAAAACATTTTTTAAAATGTACAAGTGAAATAAGAGAAAGGACTCAGGGGTAAGTGAGCCCTGCCTGTGCACAGACAAGAAAGTGAGGCCTGAGGGGTGCAGTGGGTAGGCAGGGCAGAGCCCAGGACTCCCAGCTCTGTCCACTGCTGACCTCTGCCCCAGGGGCTGCCCTCCTGTATTCTGGTTTTTAGAAAGCCCAGTAGATCCCAGAGGCCATGGGACCTATAGTGAGGTGGGGGAGGGGGTCCTGCTGGGGCATGCATGGGAGTGGGGGTGGGGTCAGCTTGTCTGGTGGATCTTGAGTCCCCCTGCAGAGCTGGTGGCTTTGAGAGTCTTCAGCAGTCGGAGAGCACTGGGGAGCCCCGTCCCTCTGCAGCCCATGTGACCCTGTGGGAACAGGGCTGTCACAGTGGCCTCGTGGGAGTGGAAGGGCGTGCCTGACTTGCATCTTTAACAGGCCTCTTTCCCCACAGGCCAAGCTGGTTGCCCACAGGTGCCCCCACCCTGTCTCAGGAAGTGGACACCCAGTCCTGAGCCCATCCCAAGGGGTCAGAGATGGCGTTGACCCCCGAGTCCCCGAACAGCTTCCCTGGGCTGGCTGACACCGGCAGCTCTGTGCCTGAGCCGCCTGGTGGCTCCAATGCAACCCTCAACAGCTCCTGGGCCAGCCCGACGGAGCCCAGCTCCCTGGAGGACCTGGTGGCCACGGGCACCATTGGGGCGCTATTGTCGGCCATAGGTGTGGTGGGCGTGGTGGGCAATGCCTACACGCTGGTGGTCACCTGCCGCTCCCTGCGCGCTGTGGCCTCCATGTACGTCTACGTGGTCAACCTGGCGCTAGCCGACCTGCTCTATCTGCTCAGCATCCCCTTCATCGTGGCCACCTACGTCACCAAGGAGTGGCACTTCGGGGACGTGGGCTGCCGTGTGCTCTTCAGCCTGGATTTCCTGACCATGCACGCCAGCATCTTCACGCTGACCGTCATGAGCAGCGAGCGCTACGCCGCGGTGCTGCGGCCGCTGGACACCGTGCAGCGCTCCAAGGGCTACCGCAAGCTGCTGGCGCTGGGCACCTGGCTGCTGGCGCTGCTGCTGACGCTGCCCGTGACGCTGGCCATGCGGCTGGTGCGCCGGGGCCCCAAGAGCCTGTGCCTGCCGGCCTGGGGCCCGCGCGCGCACCGCGCCTACCTGACGCTGCTCTTCGCCACCAGCATCGCGGGGCCGGGGCTGCTCATCGGGCTGCTCTACGCGCGCCTGGCCCGCGCCTACCGACGCTCGCAGCGCGCCTCCTTCAAGCGGGCCCGGCGGCCGGGGGCGCGCGCGCTGCGCCTGGTGCTGGGCATCGTGCTGCTCTTCTGGGCCTGCTTCCTGCCCTTCTGGCTGTGGCAGCTGCTCGCCCAGTACCGCGAGGCCCCGCTGGCGCCGCGGACGGCGCGCATCGTCAACTACCTGACCACGTGCCTCACCTACGGCAACAGCTGCGCCAACCCCTTCCTCTACACGCTGCTCACCAGGAACTACCGCGACCACCTGCGCGGCCGCCCGCGGGGCCCGGGGAGCGGGGGAGGCCGGGGGCCGGTTCCCTTCCCGCAGCCCCGAGCCCGCCTCCGGCGCGGTTCGGGCCGTTCCCTGTCCTCCTGCAGCCCACAGCCCACCGAGAGCCTCGTGCTGGGCCCGGCGGCCCCGGCCAGGTCTGCGCCCGAGGGTCCCAGGGCTTCCGCGTGAGCAGCGGGCGGGGCGGCTGGAGTCCAGGCGGGTACGCGCCCCAAAGTCGCGGGCACTCCCAAGAGTCCCCCGCTCCCAACTCAGGCCCTGCCCCACTTCCTCAGTCCCCTTCCAGAAATATCCCGCTGGCTCCTCCTCAGCACCCTCCCCTTGATGCCCCGAAGCACCCACCCGCCTCCCTGGGGATCTCCTGGAGGCTCCACCCAGTCCCGGCTTCTGGAGTTCACAGAGGGCAGCAGGCGCCAGTGCCCAGCCGTGTGGAGACCGTGGCACGGCTGCTGCGGGCCAGGACTCTCCTCTCAGCCCGTGGCCCCGCAGCTCCCGTCCCTGCCTGTGTGGCCCCATCCCTTGCCGCTTCGGCACGGGAACGATAAACCCTGAGCTGGCATCCATGCCCTGCCTCAGCGCCGGGATGCCGCGTCTGAGGAGTGGGAGAATCCGCCGGCAGGATCCCCAGGACGACCTGCAGCTCATGGAGGAGCCTGAGGGTCTGGCTGGGGTGCAGGTGCACCTGCCTTTGAGGCGGGTGCAGGCGGCTGGTCTGGCACCTGCTGTGAAGAGGGGAAGGTGGCCAGGAGGGGAGGCCCCGGCAGCGTGGGCTGAGGGGTGCAGCAGGAAGGCACTGCCCAGCAAAGGCCTGAGGCTGCAGGTGCAAAAAGCAAGTGTCCAGCCAAGGCCGCTGGCCGGACCTGCGGGCCCCCAGCCTCCCACCCACATCGGGCTCAGGTCTCATCAGGAATGAATCCAGACCCCCCCTCACAGCACGCTTGCCAGTCTCCGCCCCACTCTTCCCCCCACTGCCTCCTGGGCAGACTCCTGCCCCTGCTCCCAGCTTGGCCGACCATCCTCTCTCTGGCAACCGCTCCCCTCCAGCCCCCAGCCGAGCCCCAGACCCTGCACAGCCTCCCCCAGCCTGGCCTCCCCTCCTCACCCCATGGCCATGCCCAGGCTCCCAGCCCCTTGGGGCTCCTTCTGAACACTAGGGTGGGGTCATGCCCGCCCCTCCATGGAGTGAGCATAGCTCTGCCGGCAGCAGGGCAGTCACAGGCGTTGGAAGGAGTATGCAGTTGCTGTCCCCAGGGCGTCCTGGAAGAGGTGCTGTGCCCACAGGTCTCCCCTGGAGTTAAGAGAGTGCTCTGGAACTAGACGCTGGTGACTGGGCAATGCTGTGATGAACCAGTGCCACAGAACTGTGCACTGAATGTGGTTAAAATGGCGAGTTCCGCCATGAGTGTTTTACCTTAAAAACAAAAAGATCCCGCTCCCAACCTTGCTCCTTTGTGAAAATGGAAATAGAGATTGATGTACAGCCCACTCCTGAATACATGTAAAATTTGTGCTAAAGTATCTTCTATGAAAATGGTTTATAATCTGTAGATTGTAATTATCTCGGAGATGGCTTACATGTAAAATCCCATCTTTGGGTTGTGGGATTTTTGCTTTCTCCAAATAAATCTGATCATTAAAGTTCAGAAAAAAAAAAAGAAAAAAACAGCAAGTTGCTGTTAAAATCACTCTGGGAGCAGGCAGCTCTGCGGGGGGCGGGGCAGGGCTGGCGTCGCCCCTTCCAGAGGCTCCCAGGAGCCGCCCCAGCCGCAGGTCCTCGCAGCCTCTCTGAGGCAGAAGAGCTTTGGGGATTGGAGGTGCTTTCTCTTTCACAACCGAAGCCTGATTCCTAAAGCTGCTGTCTTTGTAGAGAGAGAAGCAAAATTAAAATTACACATCAGACCCCCAGAGCTGGTCCCTGGCTTGGCGGGTCCAGCTGGCGTGGTCCTTGCCTGACACACAGACTCGGCTGCAGCAGGACATGGGGAGGCCCCATGCTTCTCCGGAAGGCCCCCCGCGTCTCCAGAGCCAAGAAGCTCCAACCCAGGAGGGGCCCTGCAGCCCCCACACTCCAGAGAAGACCACCCCGGAGCCGCCCTCCACCCTTCCATCTGGGTTTGGAGGAGAGGGCGGATGGCCCCCACGATGTGGGGCACCGTTGCTGGAGTTGACCACGCATGTGTCTACAGCCACAGGTATCCTGCTCCACGATGTCAGCACGGGGTGATGCGGGCGGAGTTCCCCTGAGAGGCAGAGCTTCAGGGCCGGGCTGGGTGATGTGAAGAAAGGGCTGCGCGTGCCTGTGAGTGTGGGCAGAGGGAAACTCCTGGGTGAAAGAGAAAACAACACAGGGGTGAATGACTCAGGGACGGGAGAGGAATTCAAATGAAACAAAGTCATGGACTCGGAGAAACCGGAGCGGCGAGGCTCTCGGGAAGCCAGGAAAAGCCACCATAAAACAAGGGGCAGGCAGAGGCCGGGAAGGGGGACCTGGAGACCTAGCCGCTAAAACAGCCCCCGGAGAAGGCTGGGATGGAACGCAGTCCCTCGGGAGGAGCACCTGGTCCCAGGCGGGAGCCCCCCAGCCCTGACCCCCACTCTCCCTTGCAATGCCTCCTACTACAGAACGGAGAAGACTCAGGCGGGCACACACAGCACAGCGTGCCCCAGAGCACAGCGGGCACGTTCTCTTCGGAGCCCACTCCTGCCTGGGTGTGAATGAGGCAGCAGCGGGTGCCCGTGTACAGCCCCCAGACCCCCGCTCCCTGCTCATCAACACGTCATCAGGTCACCATGTGCCATGCCCACGCATGACCCCTGCCGGCTAGCGCCCAGAGCAACCGCCTTCCACCCTGGGGGCCTCTATAAGCAATGACGCCAGTGACAAGTAGCTCCGTAAGCACAGCACTGGCCCCTCAGAACACCCATGCTCCCACACACCGCTGCAGACTCACACCCACTCACACTCACACCGCTGCAGACTCACACCCACACCCACTCACACTCACCGCTGCAGACTCACACCCACACCCACTCACACACCGCTGCAGACTCACACCCACTCACACTCACACCGCTGCAGACTCACACCCACTCACACTCACACTCACACCGCTGCAGACTCAC